ATATTTTCCCATTCATGCATCTAGAGCTTTGGGTTTGATTGAAAATTATATTATCCCCGTTCTTGCCCCCAGTACTTTGTTCATGTATGTACGGGAAAAAAAACTTTTAACTTTTTACATGAAAGCTTTTTTTTTTGGATTCTCTAAAAATTGAGGGGATTTTTATGTTTTGTTAGAAAAACCCTTTTGGGTCTTATTTTGGGTTAGATTACTAGAGGCATTTGTTTTTAGCTGCTTCAGCAGCAGAAATGTATGGAACATGAAAAATAATCTCTTATACTTTTTTCCCTTTCCCTTTTTTACTCCCTGCAGAGCCCAGAGAGGAAAAAAAACCCAAAGGGGAATTTTCCCACTTATGATGGTTAAAGGATAAATTCAGAGCTATTTTTACCCCTAAACTTTTAAAAAAAATTTAAAAAATTTTTTGTTTACAAACCCAAAACCCTTGAAATTTTTTAAAAAATTTAATAAAACCCAATAAAATAAAAAAAAAAAAAGGGAAAAAAATTAAAAAATTTAAAATAAAAAAAATTCCTTTTCTTTTTAAAAAAAAAAACCATTTTTTTTCCCCCACCTTTCCCTTAAAAAAACATTAAAAATAATTCCCTTTTTTTTCCCCTTTTTTTAATCCCAAATACAGGGTGGGGAAAATTACAAAAAATTTGTTTATTCCTTATAAAGGGCCTTTTTGGGTTTGAATTCCAAATTACCCCCAACCCTTTCGAAACTGGTTAAGTTTTTAAATTTTTTTGTTTTTTTTTAAAACCTTTGGGGGAAATTTAATTGGTTCTTTTCCAAACCCTGTAATTTTAATTTGGTAATAATGTTTGTAGGTTGGTAGGGTAGGGGGGGGAGGGGGGGGGTAATTTTAAATGCGACTTTGGTCAAATAAATTTTCCCTTTTTGCACAAATTTTGATTTTGGATTTTGATGTTACTTTGATGCTTAACTTGATTTCCGGGGATTTGTAAAAAAGGGCCAAAATGAAAAAACATGGCAAAAAGCACGCAAAAAAAGCAAAATTTAATTTTCATTTACAGAAGGAATAGGAGGGCCCCCTGTTTCATAGAGCTTACAATCAAAAAGGGAAAGGGGGGGAAAGGGTTAAAAAAATTTGATAGTACAGGGAAAAAATTTTGATAGAGGTTTGCCCCAAAAATTTTACGTTCGGGTGGGGGTTTTGGGGTTTGGGGGGTTTTCCCCTTAAATTTAAGTGATTTTTTAAAAATGGATTTGGCCTTAAAAGGCGGGACGGAGGGGGTTTTTGGTTGGGACAAAGGGGGGTTGGGGGGTTCCAGAGGATGGGGGAGGGCTCTGGGGAAGCCCTGGGAGGCGAGGGGTTTTGGGAGGGGGGGGAAGAGGAGTGATGGATTAAAAGACCAAAAGTGGAAAAAGGAGATTCAATTTAATCACGGCATACAACCAAGGTGTGGATAAGTTGTTTTTGTGGTGTCCTCATTGGCCAGAAAGGGCAGATTTTGGAAATGTTGTGGAGGTTGATTGAGCAGCAGGAATTTACCAATGATTGGATGTGAGGGCCCGAAGGCGAGATCAGAGTCTAGGATTACACCTAGCACCCTGGCATGAGAGGAAGGACCAATGGATGTGCTGTTAAATCTTAATGGTAAGTCATGAGTGGGGGGATCAGGGGGGAGGAAATATTACACAGCTCGGTTTTAGGAAGATTGAATTTAAGGGAGTGGTGTGATATCCATACTGATATGTCGCTTAGTAGATTTGTGATACATGAGGAGATTGAGTGGGGGGTGAGAGCTGGGGAGTAAAATGAGATAGATATGGGTGCCATCAGTGTAGATGTGGCATTGGAAGCCATGGGAGGTTATTCATTAGCCCAGGGGAGGAGAGTGTACAGAGTCCAGTAGGAGAAAAGGAGGGGCCCTAGGATTGGAGCTTTAGGATATCCAACGGAAAGAGGAATAGGAGCGGAGGAGTTGTTGTATATGACGCTGAAAATGTGCTGAGAAAGGTAAGAAGAGAACCAGGAGAGAGCAGAGTCACGGTATCAAAGGATGGTCAAAGTTTACTGAGGAGGAGTGGTGTGATCGACTGTGTCAAAGGCAGCGGAAAGTTCTAGGAGTATAAGTATGGAGAATGGCAATCTGCTGCAGGAAAAAAAAGTCCCTGACCCTTTCAGGAAAAAAAGTCCCTGACCCTTTCCGACGAAAACGCACTGGCTCAAAACGCATATGTGTGAACATGATCTATAGGAAATCATGTTAAATGGACTGAAAATCTGCATAATAACTGTGAAACTAGGCAGCGGTTCTCAACCTGGGGGGGTCGGCGACCCCCTTTTGGGGGTCGAACGACCATTTCCCAGGGGTCGCCTAAGACCATCGGAAAACACACATATTTTCCCGATGGTCTTAGGAACCGAGACACCGCTGCTCTGTCTCGCGATCTGTGGGCGCGATGATATGCTGCCCCTGTAACCTGGCCACACCTCCGGGATCACTCAACAGCTCCGCCTCCTCGCCGCTGATTGGCCACCGGAAACTGTAGCTCAGGAGAGGCACACAGGCGGCCAATCACCGGTGAGGAGGAGGGGGAGCTTGGAGAGGAGATGAGCCGAGCGGCAGAGTGCGCAGATCGAAGAAGATCGAGGGAGCTGCAGGACCGAGTGAAGAGGAGAGAGGCCAGAGAAGGAAGACAGCTGACAGGTAAGTGCAAAATTTTGCTTCTGCAGGCTGTAGATGGGAGAGGGGAGAGAGCGATGCCCAGGCTGGAGCAGGGTCCAAGCAAGGTAAGTATCATTGGTGTCAGTGGGAGGAAATAGTGCCCCATCATTTGTGTCACTAATACCAACGATGGGGCACTATTCCTCCCCCTCACTGACACCAACGATGGGGCACTATTCCATCCCCCCACTGACACCAATGATAGGCACTATTCCTCCCCCCACTGACAAGCCAACGATGGGGCACTATTCCTCCCACTGACACCAACGATGGGGCACTCTATTCCTCCCACTGACACCAACGATGGGGCACTAATTCCCTCCCACTGACACCAACGATGGGGCACTATTCCTCCCCCCACTGACACCAACGATGGGGCACTATTCCTCCCCCCACTGACACCACCAACGATGGGGCACTATTCCTCCCCCCACTGACACCATCAACGATGGGGCACTATTCCTCCCCCCACTGACACCAACGATGGGGCACTATTCCTCCCCCCACTGACACCAACGATGGGGCACTATTCCTCCCCCCACTGACACCAATGATAGGCACTATTCCTCCCCCCACTGACACCAACGATGGGCACTATTTCCTCCCAACTGACACCAACGATGCGGCACTATTCCTTCCCCACTGACACCAACGATAGGCACTATTCCTCCCCCCACTGACACCAACGATAGGCACTATTCCTCCCCCCCCACTGACACCAACGGATGGGGCACTATTCCTCCCCCCACTGACACCAACGATGGGGGCACTATTCCTCCACTGACCACACCAACGATGGGGCACTATTCCTCTCCACTGACACCAACGATGGGGCACTATTCCTCCACTGGCACCAATGATAGGCACTATTCCTCCCCCCACTGACACCAACGATAGGCACTATTCCTCCCCCCACTGACACCAACGATAGGCACTATTCCTCCCCCCACTGACACCAACAATGGGGCACTATTCCTCCCCCCACTGACACCAACGATGGGGCACTATTTCCCCCCCCCACTGACACCAACGATGGGGCACTATTCCTCCCCCCACTGACACCAACGATGGGGCATCTCACTATTTTTGGCCCCCACCTGACACCAACGATGGGGCACTATTCCTCCCCCCACCAATGACACACCAACGATGGGGCACTATTCCTCCCCCCACTGACACCAATGATAGGCACTATTCCTCCCCCCACTGACACCAACGATGGGGCACTATTCCTCCCCCCACTGACACCAATGATAGGGCACTATTCCTCCCACTGACACCAATGATGGGGCACTATTCCTCCCCACTGATACCAATGATGGGGGCACTATTCCTCCCACTGACACCAATGATGGGGCACTATTCCTCCCACTGACACCCAATGATGGGGCACTATATTCCTCCCACTGACACCAATGATGGGGCACTATTCCTCCCAACTCTGATACCAATGATGGGGCACTATTCCTTTCCCCACTGACACCAATGATGGGACACTATTCCTCCCACTGACACCAATGATGGAGCACTATTCCCCCCACTGACACCAATGATGGGGCACTATTCCTCCACTGATACCAATGATGGGGCACTATTTTATCTCCCAACTGACACCAATGATGGAGCACTATTCCTCCCACTGACACCACGATGGGGCACTTCCTCCCACTGATACCAACGATGGGACACTATTCCTCCCACTGACATCAGTGATGGGGCGCTAGTCCTCCCACTGATACCAATGTGATGGGGCACTTTTCCTCCCACTACTGACACCAATGGCGGGACACTATTCCCTCCCACTGATACCAATGATGGGACACTATTCCTCCCCACTGATACCAAACGATGGGGACACTATTCCTCCCACTTACATCAGTGATGGGGCGCTAGTCCTCCCACACTTCTACTGATACCAATGATGGGGGCACTATTCCTCCCACTGATACCAACGATGGGACACTATTCCTCCCACTGATTACCAATGAGATGGGGCGCTAGATCCTCCCACTGATACCAATGATGGGGCACTATTCCTCCCACTGCAAAATTACACAGTTCTGACGAGTAGCAACGAAAATAATTTTATGGTTGGGGGTCACCACAACATGAGGAACTGTATTAAGGGCGTCGCGCGGCGTAGAAAGGTTGAGAACCAACACTGACTTAGGGTAAAGCAATTTTTTATTTATCTGTACCGCAATTCTTACCCTAATCATGTTACCTTACCTTTTACATTAAATGCTCAGAAGCCTGAATTCTTTATTGATCAGGCCCCTATATCTCAGCTCACATCTGGGTAATAGTTTCTATTGGCTGTAGTATCTATGCATAAGAATATGATGGCAGTGATTCTATCATGTCTAGTGTCAATACATCACTTGTTATCATTAAGAGCCTTTGCAGCAATCTTTGCTTCTAGAGTGCATATTTTAAAGCTGAAGCTTAAAAAAAAATAAATTCCTCCAGTTTTAGTCACATCACTTATCTGTAATGAGGGATGTCTTATGTTGTGCAGGCAGCTGGATTCTGGAGAGATCTTCCCTGCAGGGATGCCATATCTTCTCCCTGTCTGAATTTCTGATACTCCAAAGATTAACAGCTTCAGGTCTTTAACCACTTGCCTACCGGGCACTTTTACCCCCTTCCTGCCCAGGCCAATTTTCAGCTTTCAGCGCTGTCGCACTTTGAATGACAATTGCGTGGTCATGCAACACTGTACTGATATGAAATTTTAAAAAAAAAAAAATTCACACAAATAGAGCTTTCATTTGGTGGTATTTAATCGCCACTGGGTGTTTTATTTTTTGCACTATAAACAAGAAAAGAGCAAAAAAAAAAAAGAAGTTTTTCTTTGTTTCTATTATAAAAATTTTGCAAACAGGTAATTTTTCTCCTTTCATTGATGTGCGTTGATGAGGCTGTACTGATATGCAGCACTTATGGGCACTGATAGGCAGCACTGATGAGGTGTGGAATGGATAGGCAGCACTGATGGGCACTGATAGGGCTGCACTGATGAGGAGGCACTGATGATGCTGCACTGATATGCAGCAATGATGGGCACTGATAGGTGGAAAAATTTGTGTATTTGCTTGTATACAGTATATATTGTATATGTACCCAATACAGTCACTGCAATCCAAGAATTCTTACTTAAAGTTGTAAATTTATTTTCAGTTCTTTACAAAACTGCAATAACAATATAGAGCCTCCCAGTTCTTCATCAGGTGCACCCTATTAGTTACATGTCTGTCTGATAGATTGGAGTCTGTCTATCTTCAAGTGGTTTCTTTTTGGCATTTTTGTGCATAGTAAGCTGACCCATCAATTCACTCCTATTTACTATTGTATATATCCTTAAATCACACCCTCATTTTTTAAAAAGCTACCTATAATAGTGTATCCTACTATTTGACCATGGCCTTTACTGAGCATAGGTTCCCCAGGGTAACACTGCCATCTCTCCCTGTGTGTAAGTCAACTTGCTGTTATGGTGCAGTGATGGTAAACAGCTGTTCTCTAATGCTCTTCAGTGTAGTACTGCAGTAATAAACTTTTCACAACCTAGATGGTATTCAGTATAGCTTTTGTGCCTCTCTTAGCTTCTGATTGCCTGTTTCAGCTGCTGTCAAAAGCTCATGGGACAATAGGGCAGGATGAAAAGATCTATATTGTCTATATTGTAAAGGTTTACACCCACCTGAAATGCAAAGCTGGCATCAGGTACTCATCAACTCCAAATAACAGGTTGGATGCTATGGGGGCTCAGTTGGGTGTTTAAATGATATAGCAGTTACATATGGCCCATCGACATACCACTTTATGATTTTCCTAAATAATACTATGTAGATCTTTTTGATCTGTGGAGAATCATAAACACAATACAGAAACCCAAGAAACTGTGATCCAGAAATTGCAAATTGGACAATCTTGCCTGTACTGTATATATCCAGGAGAATACAAACTTTTGTAATACTTTGAATCAAGTTTTTTTAGTGAGGTTAAAAATATTTAAAATGTAATTAATCTGCTAATTCTGCTATTAGAATTAGACAGCATTTTGACATCTTAATGTTTTTTGGCATGTCAGCATTCTCATTACTCTAATAAGAAACCAGCACATTTCATGTGTCAATTCACTAGTAACATTAGTGCTAAAACCAATAAAAGGAGGCTCTGGATCCAAAGTGAGGTTATTTTGACAGTGTGGAGTGAAAAATATGAAGTGGAGTGCAGTTGCTTTGGCAAGGCTTCTCTTTTGCTCAAAGAGTCCTCTAGGAGGTGTTTTGGACAAAATCCAAGAGATTTAAGAAAAAAAGAATTTCCACAACAATGGATGAGCTTCTGAATTTTTTTTATTACCCTAGTATACCCAGAAAAAATAATCCAATACATTTTAGGGGTTCTACCTTTATCAGGGCTCACTGTAATGATGATATTTGGAGTGGAATGATTTTGAACTAGAAAAAGATGAAGGTTAAAAAAAGAGTTTTGTAAGAATTTGTATCTAAGTAGAACGCAAGTAGGCTCTTAGGCTGAACATAGATGGATCTTTTTTTTTGTTTGTTTTTTTTAGCCAGCAGGCTGAATGAAAAAAAAATATATACCGTATATTTTTTCCTCTATCCACCTCGTGTGTGTGGATAGAGGAATATGTTCGTTTTTTTCAATGCTAAGACAATAGGGTTGATTTACTACAACTAGAGAGTGCAAAATCTGGTGCAACTCTGCATAGAAAGCAATCAGCTGATTGGCTACCATGCACAGCTGGGAACTCTCTGATGTCAAAATACACAGATGAGTGCTGCCAATTGGCACAAACTGCTGATCAAGAAAAGTTTTCCAACAAACCTATTCAACAGAAGTTGATAGAATGATTTCTATTGAGCACAAGCAGATACACATGACTCAAACATCCCTGCTTGATTGGCCAAATTTCAATCCATCTATGACCACCTTTCACCATTGGGGAACCTCTCCTTCTTTCCTAAATGTCTTGTAACTGCTCAAACCATGTTAACAATTGGGTAATACAGTTCTCATAGTTAGACCACATTTCTAGGTACAGTTTTCCGTATATTTCTGAGGAGAAGGATAAGGTGGTGTAGAGAGCAGATCTGGTCTTAGTTATTATAACAGAATATGTTCAGAGTGCTTATGCCTGTTCACTCCATGGTGTACCTAGTCTTCTTAATCAAAGCTATGCATTTCTGTAAAATGCTACCATTGGGAGACATATGCCATACACTATTCTGTCTGAGATTTTTTATTTTTCAATAGGCAGCTAGGAGCTGTCAATGATTTAGCGTATGTATATGTTATTATCATGAATGCTTTTGTAAAGCATTTTTTCCTATGCTAGAATTTGCAGAATTATTATCTAAAACAAGGAAATTGCATTTTAAGAAAAACTGTTCCTAGTGCATGACAGATATAAACATGTCTTTTTACAGTTGCAATGCAGCCATTAGTTTTTGTTCTTTATCTGTATCCATGTAATACAGCGATCATGTTGGCTTGTCTTGCAGCTATCAGAATAATTACTGGCTATAAACATTGGCAGCTGCTGTTAGAGTGGACTGCTATCAAGATATACAGTTAAAATGCTTCATGGGAAAGAGACACAGCAAGCAATTATAAATGGCAACCCCAATGTGCTGAGCTATTCCACATGGTCTCCTAACAGTTGGACTCCTCTAATAGATGACAGCAATCCACAGTAAATACAGACTTAGTTGTTGCAATTTTTCTTGGGGTTTTTTTTTTTGTTAGAGGACTATTTTCTATGATCTGGAAAAAAAAGCTATTAACACAAAATTACAGCCTTGGCTGAAAAAGTTCACCACAGTCAAGAATGATGAAAAAATGTTAACAGGATGGGTATTTTTATTTCACTCACCTACATTTTACAGATGGGGTATTGACTCTATATTCTGAAATCACAGGTTGATGTGTCAAATTGATACAGTGTAAAAAAAGGCTTCACCATGGGGCAGATGTTAAGGGAATAAGACAAGTGCTCCTTTAACCTTTAAATTCTCTGTAACTGCTACAGCAAGTGTAAGAAAATGTTGTTGAAGAAAATCTGATGAACGTTTGATAAAATTACACCACCCATATAAAAACAAATGTCATTCAGTACAATCAGGTTTGTTCAATAGGACAATGCAAGGAATAAGAATTAAGTGCAATGTGCAGTATCCCAGAGCAATCAGAATTCAGATTTACTTTACTAAAATTAATGGGTTACTGTTCTTTGCACGTAGTGCTGTGTTCCCTGTAGCACTAATTGAAAATCCTGTATTTTTTAAAAGAATGATACTAATGGGAACAAATAATAAATTTGCAGTTTTCATTTTAAGTGCAAATGCTACTAATGAATGAATGATACTAATGAGAAAAAAGAATATATTTGCAGCTTCCATTTCAAATGCTCCATCTGCTTTTGGCCACCGATTGCAGTGATATAAATATGCTTACTTCCTTATAGGATAAGTTCAACTTTTGCGTAAACTGACCCACAAGGACAATGGCTCTTTGTAGTTTAAAATGCACTGTGCTGCTTGTAAGGCTATTGTTTGATGGAAATGCCATACCTGTAGGCTGTTTCTGTCACCCATGGCACCTGGCTGAAAAATGTTCAATGTTTACATTCCTATGTCCTGGCTTATTTTCAAGGACAAGGCAGACATTGAATGTTAGTCTTCAGCATTGCAGGAACAAGTACGCTCCCTGATTCAAAAGCAGTGCATAGGTAGTACACTCTCTTTTGTTCTTTCCCAAAAACTCTGGGAATGCTCACTGTGCATGTGCAATGTTGAATGAAGAGGCATGCTCACTCTTTTGATGCTGGGGGCAAGTGCCCACCAACTGCTGTGTCCTGTAAATAAGTCAGCGGGGCCCCTTGTCTGCATGGACCAGTGTATGTCGAACATAGAGCTGTTTACTTTTTCTGGAGTGGAAATCATGATACTCTGTTTATTTCTCTGTG